ACCCACAATTCAGTTCGGCGAAAAAGCGAGGCAACGTGACGTCACCCCATTCAAAGTGAATGGGCAGATTGAAGCTGTCGACGCTGTAGTGTGGACGGGGCCGCACTCCTCTCGCCAGGCGAGCTGAGAGAGCCATGGATCAAGCAGAGAGGAACGAGGTGAAGCGTGAAGCCTTCGGGCTCTGTCAAAGGCAAAATAACTACCTGAGGGAGTCTATTGACTTTGTCCAGGTTTCTGTTGGAAAATAAACCCAAAGTGTCAAATACGTTTTTTTAAAAGCTGATCTTAACCTTAAATAATCGTGGCTTGATATTGAGTAAGAACATGTTTTTATGAACCACACAGCTTCCGGTCTTCCAAGACCCAACAGGAAAAAATACGTGGTGCAGACACGAAACATCCTACCAATAGAAATACATTGCTTTTAAATTGTGTTGGTGAACACGAATCAATAGATTAAATGTCGTGACTCGTGACTATAACACGAAATGTCGTGAGACTGGGTTGGATCTCCAGAGTCAAGCTATTTTTCAATATTATCTCATTCACACCAACGTAACTCCGGTTCAAGCTCCGTGCTAGAGCTTTTCAGGTTCAGAAACCAGTTCTTCGGTTTAGCTCTGGCTCTTTTCACACCGCCCAGAGTCCGACTGGTAATGCGTTGTTGCGTCATCGTTTGCATCATGACGTAACCGTTTGCGTGCCTGCTTCATAAAGCCAAACCGCGCGGATTAAATCAGTTGCATTAATTTCCTATGGCTCTATCTGCAGCTTTTCCGGAGTCATTTCTGTGGTTTAGTTATATTCTTATAAAAAAGTGTACTCGTGTCAATAAAGTTTTTTTTAAAACAACTGCTTCCGAGGTCGGTCTTATTTTTTAAGGTGGACTGAACCATGAGTGTGGAGTAACGTTGTTTCTTTCATTTAAATGAACTGTAACCTTCACCCAGGTATGTAACAGCTGTTCTCAAATGAACACGTGAAGTAAAGTTTAATATTTATAGTTTTATAGATTTATAATGAGTTATAATGAGAGGTGATCAACGTGAATGCTCAGGTTCCACCTTAACAAGCAGAAACGTTGCTTCACCATGAGCAGAAACCTTTACAGTCTATGGCAGAAACTCTGAAACTCTTGTTAAGTTTCTCCATCGTTGTGTACAAACTGGATAAAACGCGGGTTTTTTGTTGTTGTTCAGGAGTTGATCTGTCTCTGCCCCTGCCTCGACGTAAGCGTGACGTATGTGGTGCTTTTGCTCTGGCCGGACAATTTTTTGGTGCTTGAAACGAACCGGATTCTGGAGCTAATGCCCCTTTCACACCAGCGCTTTTTCAGCTCCGGCTCGGAGCTGGAGCCTGAAAAGCGCCGGTTTTTCCTGTTCACACCGCAGCGGCGCCGGCTCTTAGCTCCGGAATCGGGTTCACTTCCAGCTCCAAAAAATTGTCGGTCTAACAGTGCTTCTCAAAGTGTGGTCCGCGGACCACTGGTGGTCCGTGAGCGCCCCCTAGTGGTGAGTGAGTATATTGGTAACATTTCACATTTGAAATAAATAAATACATTTAAGTTTTCCGCACTCTCGCGGGAATATCTCCGCAATGGAGCGAGCTTATGTTTCACTTTCGATTGCATGATATAGCCCAGCACAACACCTTCATCAAACATGTTGCCACCTGTTTATACCATTTTTTATACCATCCGTTCATTGTTATTGATCATTGTGGAGAGAGGCAGACGTGTTGTTTTGTATTATAGCAGCTATCGGATGGAATCAATACATGGGCTCTACAGGTTGTCGTGTCCGACTATCACAAGTAGAATCATAATAAAAATACGCCGGTAAAATGTGCCTGTAGAAAACGGTTTATGCCACAATAGGATAGCAATAGCAAGTAGTCAGTTAGCTTCGGTTGCTATGCTAACATCACCCATTTTATACCAGAGAAACTTTCATAACAGCGTTGTGATACCAAACAGCGTCAATTCAGACTGACACACATTCACTTAGGCTAAGGGGAACTGGGGATATGTATCAGCTGCTTGTGTGAGTCGGACAGTGAATACTTTAGAGCGGCCGCAGCAGTGTGAGCTAACCGGGAGCTAACGGAGGAGAATAAACTCCCGTGGAAGAGCAGCCAACACTGCAGCGGTCGGTAAATGCTGCAGAAACACATTAATAAGCAATGAACCACGGCACTCTGGAGCAAAGTATAAGGTTGGAGAAGTCGTTATTCAATTTAATCTGGCTTCGTGTGATTAAAAGCAACACGATCATCGACCCGACGCAGTTCCCCGTTGTTGTGAGCGCCGTAATGCCGTTGGGGAGCAGATCAGCGATTGTAAACGGTGACGTCATGACGCAGCAGCGGCAGCACCAGTCGGGTGCTGGGCGGTGTGAACAGAGCGGGAGCAGAAAAGGGAAACCGGAGCTGAACCAGAAAAGCTCTAGCTCGGAGATAGAAAGGGAAAAGCGCTGGTGTGAAAGCCGCAAGAGAGGCAGATCAGAGCAGAGTTTAACCAGTTCCATCAGTTCCTGAAAGAGGAAGAGGAGTCCAGACTGGCAGCTCTGAGGGAGGAAGAGGAGCTGAAGGGGAAGCCTATCAGCAGAGAGATGAAGAGCTCCAGCTCCGAACCGGCCCTGAAACACCGTTGGTGTGAATGAGGTATATGACAGTTTTCTCCAGAGAATACATAAGAGTGCAAAGTTGCCCAGCTTCTATTTTCTTTTTTTTAAGATTACTTCTGGCCTTCCTTGCAAGATAACCAGATCATGGCAGTAGCCAAGAAAATATAAGAGAACAGCAAATATAAAGTTTTCTACACAACAGTTAAACAACATAGCATGTCTATCTCTCTGACAGTGTTTGTTAATACAGTTTATCATACATTACATCTGATGGAAAGTAAAAAAACTGCACTGACCTTAAGCCTTGAAGTTATGACACTTCTGTGCACATGTAGTGCCACCTGCTGGTTGACTTAACCCTTCTGCAAACTAAACATTTCAATATTTCCTGTGATTACACTGATGTTCTGGCCTTATTCAATAAGTTCAGTTTAGAGAAGTGGTTTCACCATTTTAAAAACAACCAATACAAAATGAATGTATGAAAAAATGTAGTTTATTTAAATTTTTGGCGGGTAAATGATTAAACTGTTGTATGATTAAAGGGGACCTATCATGCAAAATGCACTTTTGTATGTCTTTTATACATAAATATGTGTCCCCGGTGCGTCGGGGAACTCACGCAGCATCAGAAAAAAAAACTCTCTTTTCCTCCGTGCCCAAATCTCTAAAAACGGGGCTACAACGGAGCTGATCCAGATTTGCGTCCGATATGACGTAATATCTGAAATGTGGACCCACGGCCCAATCAGAAACGTTGCTATCAGAAACAATGCCCGACTGTTTTGGACGTAATATGGTCAGTGTTTACATTAGCATCGCTAACACTCAGAGCTAACCTGTACTGGAGAGCATGTGTGTGAAGAAGCAGGAAGTAAAAAGGAACTCACCTTGTGGTATAACCGGCAAGAGAGAAAGCCTTTGAGCTCCATACTGTTTCAGAGATAATCCTTGATAATCCATGATATGATTAACAATTTTTTGTTAAAGCTTTATACCCAAAATCAGCACTTTTGAAACAGGAAGTGAAATAGAGGGATATGAGGCATGGCTAGAATGGGGGATCTGTTTGTTATTTTGAGCAAAACACTTCATAGACATGTTTTTTATATATCTGAGACCTATGCTATTGACAAAAAATAGCATGATAGGTCCACTTTAAGTTAAACGAACATCAAGTAATTACACATACAAGGTTAATTGTCGACTTAGGACAAAAACGCTTAAACTCAAAATCAACCTTTTAGCTTTTTTCAGGAGATTTCCACCATTTTCACTCATCTTTAAGACAACAAAGTCATGAAAGTGTAAACTGATCCATCTCCGTTATTAGCATCTATATCTTCCCAACTGAAGGTTCTGGAAAACCGAGAAATAGAGAAGATGTCCAACTAATTCAAAAGGTGAAAGCTGGTGAACCTTTTATTGTTAGTTGAAGAAAAGGCTCAGAAAAAAACATGTTTTCTTAGTTTTATTACAGAATTAGATCCAAAAAACAAGAAAAACATCCAACAGTTCAGTGGGTACTGTTTCCTAGAACAGTAACAGAAAGAAATGCTTATTTTTTTTGGACTTTAACTCTTGGAGAGAGGTGACTCATTCTGCCATGATCGTTGTAGTTCACATGGAGTGTGGTGCTAAAATCTTCTAATAGTGACAACAAAAACAGATCAGCTTATAATTGTAAAATTAACCACAGAAATGACTCTTCTCACAATCTACTTAACACCAAATCCTTCAAACTTTGTGAAGAAAACCATAAAAGGTGAAATATGGGTGGATTGCTATACGTTTTATTACAATTAAACAAAACTCAAAACAAAATAACAGTTTAGCCGATGAGATCAGTTCATTAAGGCATTTCCCTTCTTTTAACAAAAATTACTAATTCATGCCTGTCTGCTATTTTTGCATATCACACACACACACACACACACACACACACACACACACACACACACACACACACACACACACACACACACACACACACACAATCTTAAGGCATATTAATAAGTCTCCCAAACAAACTCTTTAAGACACATCGTAATATTTGTCATTCTTTTACTCAGCATGTAGGATTAGAGGTAAAGTAACATACATGTGGTAATAAATTAGGATCAACTAGAATAATTATTTTCACTTTGTGAAACATTTTTAAGTTTCAAAGTCAACATATATGAGAACACACGTTTGTTTCTGAGTCTCTGAAGTTATTTGAAGGTAGTCGTGGTTAAATAGCTGTACAGAAGATTAAATGTGATTGTCACTTTCAAATCACAAGATCAAACAAATATAATTAACTATTTTCCCGTAAACAAGTTCTTACATCAGTCATCACGACATTAGAAATGGACGGAAATTATTCGTTTTTTCAGTTTGGCGGTAAAATATATTTTTCTGATTGTCAACAAAAGATATGTTGAATTTGTATTTTATTCTTTATTACTGTCCTGCTGCAGTAACTCTTCACGTAAGCACCAAATGTGTATTATTGCTCCAGTGCCTGCAGTGTTTCAGGTCCTTTGACTTTTTTTGTAATGACCTGTGCTCAGAGGATAAGGAAACACTCTTTGCATGATGACTGTGTGTCAATGCCCCTTCAACAAATACATGTTTTATCTAAAAGCATACATCACAATTCATGTGTTGTTAAAGTTCGATATGATTTGCTTACACTCTGCATTAACACACATAATGACAATATACAGCAGATGTCCTGTTATTTCCTTGAATGTAAAAAAATGCTGCAAATAGTAGCTTTAGCAGCGTTTTCTACTGAGTGGTTTCTTTTTCAGGTTTCAGGTTTCACGTGCTCTCTCACTGCACTGCACAGGATCCGCTGGGCAGGAAGTCCTGAACGTACACCGCCACGGCCTTGGTGAGGTAGGTCATGCTGCCGAAACGACCACTGGGGGCGCTGTCGTACAGCAGCCGGCACACTCCTGTGGACGGGTCTCGCTCCAGGATGTGCTCCTCTGCTCCCAGGTCCTTCTGCAGGGCGAGGAAAGAACGACATGCTGTCTTTAGTGGATTGCATTCAATATTTCACCTCCTCCTTTCCCTCACTCGCGTCCCTTCCTTGCGTCTTAGCTCTGCCTCCGTAAGACGCGAGTGAGAGACGCGAGGACAGAGGAGTCCTCAGGTATTAATTGGGATGTCCTTGTTCACTCCGGCGTCACCATAAACATGTGTACATTAACAACACAATATGTATTATTTTCGGTCCTGTATTTGTTTTTCCAGCTCTAACATTTCATTTAAGTTATAATTATAATCAAAACAATATTATTGAATTAGTAAGTATATTTTGCACACTTTAATGTTTTTATAGAGTATGATCTCCTCATTCGTTTAAGAGATGTAATATATTTTACTCTTAATGAAGCACTTTAAACATTTAATGACTCCTCCTTTAACGGTAAGATCAGCTGCAGTGAGCAGACGGCTGTGAAGGTGGGGGCGGGGGCTCTGATGCGCGAGTAGTGAAAACACTTCCACGTAGTCTGCTCTCGTGTATCCTCCCTTTCGTCTCCTCCCTCACCCCTTCCTCGACTCCTCCGTGTGCATTTCAGCAATTGGGACGTCCGTCAAAATGGCGTGTCTTGATCGATTTCCGGGTCAAGTCCGGGAGGAGGGGAAGAGAGGAGTCGAGGAGGGACATTGAGATGAACCTTGTGATGGTTGAAAAGGCTCCTAACTGAGGGAAATGACCCTTAGGTACATAAGTGGCAAGGCAAACATTAACAGCATTAAGACATCGTGCAGCGGAATCACATTATAAAATGGCAATTTAACAGTAATTTAAAAGCAAAGAGAATAAAATGAACATAAAACAAGCTAATATAGAATAAGACAGATATAAATACAACAATAAAAGTTACAGTGTAAGATATGAATAGTTCAATCAAAAGCCTTCAGCCTGGATTTAAAAATAGTAAGAGTTGCAGCGGACGTTTTTGGGAGTTTATTCCAGATATTTGGAGCATAATAACCGAACGCTGCTTCTTCACCCGTCCCAGAAGACCTGAGAGTTCTGGTTGGTTCAAGTGGCAGCCATGATAAGCTGTTAAAACATCTTAGATTGTAAGGAAAGGAGTTTCAAAGCCTTCCTTTCCTATCTCCTTCAGCATAATGGCGCCGTGTCTTTGGCTCCTCTCCAACTCTGCCTTTCTTTTCGTATTATTTCAGTGTTTGTTTACTTCTTCGTCGTGTGCTTTTCGATTTTATTTGTATTTACTTGCACTATTTTATCTGTCTGTAAATATGTACACATGACAATAAAAGCCTTGAGTCTTGATAAGACGCACTGGATGTATGTGGTGTTGACGTCCCGCTCACCTGATCCTTGTAGAACATGTCGTTGGCCAGGTGCACGATCTTCTCCACGTGGATGATGGATCCGATGCTGGGGATTTCCACGTCGGCCAGCATGGTGAGAACCAAGATGGCTTCCACCAGCAGCTGCCGGTACTCGGGCTGAGGGACGCGGTTCAACACCGTCTCCACGTGCACCGAGAACTTGATCTCTCCTGGTGTCATCTGGAGGAAGGAGGTCAGAAGAGAAAGACAAAGGCATGCTAAATAACAGCTGTGGGTAAGGGGGGATGGATGTAGCTTCAGAGTAGAACACATGTAAGAAGTCGTCATAGTGATGTTTTTTGTGGACAGTTTTCATGTGGATCTCTTACCTCTCTGGTGGTTGAAGAAGGAAGGACAAAGCCCTCTATGGACAAACCGTGGCACTAGAAGACAATGTTTTTTTAAGGTTATTCATTTATGCACAGAAGGTTCACTATATCAATCCCTCAAGACACTGTTCCTCTATAAAATGCTACAAAAAACGCCGGAAAGGCTATTACTCGCACACTTCTCACATTTAATAGTTATTTTATTGTAATTTTCATAATATGTTGTTGTAGTAGTTTGCCATCACTATTGAATTAATATAATTGTTTTGTATATGTAATCTTGTGTTCTCTATAACATTGTGAAATGTAAAATTATTTAGGTGAAGGCTTCAAGTACATTCTTGATCGGTTATGTTTTTGTATTATTTAATTGTGCAACACTAACACAACAATGAGATGTGTAGGATGAGCCAATGGGTCGAATCAGACCTAGAAACAAATAATAAATAGTGTTTAAAGCTCACTTTCTGCAGGATCCTCCAGACTTTCTGGTAGAATCCGACGGGCACTCGGTTCAGCGCTCCGTCCAGACGCCTCCTGCGCAGCCATTGGCCGTGCCTGGTATCCTTGGCAACCGGTATGCATTCCGGAATGTCCAGGGATTCAATGGAGGGCAGCCTGTACCTCTGATCAGAGACATGACAACAAAGAGAGAAGTTAGTTAAAGATGTGTTTTATTGTGGAAGAGCGGCGCCCTCTTCCCGGTTTTAAACGCACACATCCACAATAATGATGTTGGCTGCAGAGACGACTTTAAAATATCTGATAAATAGACAAATGTTTACCCCAGATTCAAAGTTTTCTATGTCCATTGACTGAGATCGTATTCCCTGAGATGAATAAAAGAAACAAAAAGGAGGGGTAAGAAACAATAAGATGCATTGAAATGTAAAACACAACACATTGATGAGTGAAAACAACAACAACAACGATGACAACAACACAACCGCACAGCCAGCGGACTCCTGCTTCCTGCTTCGCTAAATTAAAGCATGCATGGATGATGGGAAATGATTAAAATGAGGTTAGAAAAAACAAGAGATGAGTAAATTAACGAATGAACTGTCAATAAAGTTCGGCAAAAAAAAATTAAAACTCCATCACCTTGAAACAGAAAATTAAAAAAGCACTAGTGTGTTTTTTTAGTAAATTCCAATAAATAAATACAAATATTTAAATGAATACATTATTATTATTACAGCCAAAAGAAAAAAAGCCAATAAACCAATTACTTGATCAACAGAAAATTATAATAAATACATTAAATATATATAGTTTTTTATATTTAATGTATTGGCTGCAGAAAACACCATTTGTGAATATTTCTTAGTCTCATTTAAAATAAAATAAAAGTCAGCAGATTATGAAGACAATCATCAGTTGCAGCTCCACTTACAATTATTAATAATTATCCAGCACGAAATATTAGCAGCCACAAAGTAGCGTAGTGTTAATGGCTCGTATGATCTGCTGCATGGCTTTTAGTCTCACAAGAATTCAATCCAAATAAATCGAGTTTAAATGTCGATACTGGTGTCACCTTGCGAGAGAAGGAGAGTGACGGGTCGAGCTGAAATGGAAAAGAAATCCACTCTGCGTTACAAACGTCCGAAAAACATGATTTACCTAAAACCAAGAACAGTATTGAACCGAATACATAACAATATTTCTTATGTAAATTCGTATACTAAGTTATGTATACCATCACCTTAAAACTGTCCAATACATCTTCTATGTTCCTGAATCACATTTACACTTACAGTATTTAACATAATGTTTAAATAACTGATGTCTTAAAAAGTAACTTGGTATGTCTTAAATGTCCGGTTAGGATGTATTAGAACGAAATCTAAAATGTAAATTGTAAATAAGCCATCTGTATGTCAAATATGTCTTATATGTCTTAAATGATATGATGAATTGGAAATGGGGGACCCTGATGTAAACAAGACGAAAGTCTTTCTCTGGTCTGCATCCCCTTAACAATTGTATGTTTTGAGCTGTACTGTACTGTACCCAATATACAAGCTGTTAATAAACTTTTCAATCAATCAATCAACACACGTCATGCGCCGTGTGGCATTGACACAGCTAAGGTGATAAATAGTCTTTGCTTTCATATAATATCAGTTTTAATTCAATCAGCAAAACATCTTTTCATTTAATAATTCCTCAGTTGTACTGTGTCCATTCAATAATATTTAAGGTCATCTCAATTTAGATTGATGTTATATGACTTCAGCAGATGACACCCTGCTTTTATTTCTGGTCCTGAAATATTTGAAAGTAGAATATTTAATTCATATGTTGTAAGATTCAAGTTTAACAACACATGAAAATCACACATGGATGTACTTAAACATTAGTGATAAGAGAGAGCTTTGTGGTTTACCATGATGTTCATACTATATTTATTGGAACCAGTTTGTATTAACAAAGATAAAACTAGAACGATTCCAGAAGTATAATCAAACCCAAAGATCATTAGAAAGTGATATGGGAAATATTGACTTGGTAATGTTTTGACTTTTGTGAATGAATGTGAATAAGGTTACTTTATAATATCTTACAGAAATGTAACCAGAAGACATGTCACTTTTATAATACACACATTAATCTTTATTATTTTAAATGTTGAAACCATCGACACAAGCAGAAACAGGTTGATGTTGAAACATGTCCTGAGAGCCAGAGAGCAGACTGAGAGCAGAGTGAGAGAGAAAGCAGAGTCCCAGTGAGTCAGCTCAGGACTGGGAACACTGGTCTCTCCTCAGTGTCTCTGAGAGCGGAGTCTGGGAGCCCTGGGTGGCCTCACAGGTCACAGAGACCACCTTCCTCCACTGGTCTGCAGAGAGCCTCAGGGTGCTGCTCCAGCTGTAGTGGGCATCCTTCTCCAGCACCCCGGGGCTCCTGCTCTCCTCCCAGCTGCTGCTGCCGTCCACCTTCCAGGCCAGACTCCAGTCTGAGGGGAAGCCCTTGTTGGCCAGGCACATGAGCGTGGCCTTCCCCTGCTGCAGCTCTTCTGTGGAGGGGGAGCAGCACCGTCAGGGTGGGCTGGACATCACCTAGGAGACACCAATCAGATTAGAGGACAGGGAGCATACAGCTATTGATCAACCAGCAGACACTGGGACACCTTTACTGTGAGAGCGCTTCTCCTTTAAGGAGTTTCTGTCAGATGTTGGTTCTGCTCCATCAGTCTCTCACTCACACATTGTTTCACTTCCCTTTAAGAAGCCTCTCATGCAAATCAGCACGGAGACACTTCATACAGAATCACCTGAAATATGTCACACTGGAAATAAAGTACAACATTAAGGACACATTTTAAATAGCTGTGGTCTAAATCATCCAAACCCTGAACTCTACAAACCATAATTAAACTATTTAGTGGATAAATGAACAAATACGGGAAATGAAACAATCAATTGAGCTTAATGTGAATCTCAATAATTACCCAGTTTTACAAACTTTAAAATAATGTCTGAAAGAATTCAACACATTTTTTAAATATCCATCGTTATCTTTACTCTGTTCAACCGTATTTAAAAACTGTATTCGTAATTTATTTGAAAACAGACGGGAGAATCGAGAACAAATGAAGAACAAGTGAATGAAACATTAGCAGTTTCATCATTTCACATCTGAAGCTGTTTAAATGACAGCATGTTGGGAATGTATAAAGACATTTCAGGAAAAGCTGCTCCGACTTAGGCTCAATGATGAAGAGGAATAAAGACATGAATACTAATACTATCTAAACAGTACAATTAAAATAATATATATCTATCTCTCAAACATTCTAACACAGAATTTAAACGTCATCATATTTAGTTTTTGTGCAGAAACTTACTTCCAACATCCAGTCTGGTTCCTCCACCAAAAGTCCACCACAGTGATACAAAGTCATTGAGCCGCCGTACAAAAACCTCTCACTGTAGAGAGACACGGCTCTCTGACTTTGACACAAACAAACTCACCAAACACATCCACGGTTTACCCACTTTATATAATAACTGCTTCCAATGTTTGAAACAGATTCACAAACTATGGAGAAGTATAGAATCTTTTTAATGAGCTGTTATACATTTAAAAAGCAAAATACTCATATTGAATGAAGTACATGTAATGACGTTATTCTTAAGAAGAACTCTCTAATCGATCGGGCAAAATGTAAATCATTGTCATTTAATAAAGCTTTATTTTAGATTGTTGTGGAGGAAGAGAGCTTTGATTCTAGTGGGAGTGAATTATAGGACAGTTTTAAATGTTCTTTGGAAAGAACAAGTGAGCCCTGACCCAGTCCGGGCGGCAGTGCCCTTGAGCAGGGCACCGGACCCCCAAGTGCTCCCTGGCACATGCTCCTGTGCACCTATGTACTTGTAAGGTGTGTAAAGAACACAGAGTGGAAACTGAATGCTCCCCCAGGGGAGGTCCATCTTCTTTCTCTTCTTCTTCGTGATCAATAATCCAGGTCCCTGTTGGAGTCAGTCAGAGCATTTCCATAGAGAGACACTTTGCATCAGCAGCACCATGCTCCAGTGCTCTGGGACACTTTATAGTCCTGAGAGTTGAGCACTGGATGACTGACAGCTGTCCTTCATGACAACAGAAGCCACAGGAATCCTCCTCATCAAGAACATGACTTTAATCTGCGTCCTCATCTGGACTCTCCTCTGCTGCTGCTTCACAGGTAAAGTCCAGAGAATCAAACTCCTCTCCTCTGTGAACATCCGTCCCTCTGAAATGAAGCGGACAAAACCATGACGCTGCTTTCTGTCTTTGTCTCTCCTCAGAGTCCAGAGGCCAGGTCACAGTGACTCAGTCTGGAGCAGTGAGCTCTGCTCCGGGACGCTCCGTCTCCATCACATGTACGACCAGTCCGAAGGTTTATTATGAAAGCAATCAGCACCGTTTAGCCTGGTACCAACAGAGAGATGGAGGAACTCCTAAACTGCTCATTAAGTATACTAGCACTCGAGAAACAGGGATTTCAGAGCGTTTTACAGGCAGTGGATCAAACTCTGACTTCACTCTGACCATCAGTGGAGTCCAGCCTGATGATGCAGCAGTTTACTACTGTCAGAGTGGACATCACATCAACAGTCAGTATGTGTTCACACAGTGAAAAAGCGTCGTACAAAAACCTCCCTCAGTCAGACTGAACAGGAACTGAACTGACTGCTGCAGCTGGAAGCTACTGCAGAGACTGATACACTTCACTGAGCACACACACACACACACACACACACACACACACACACACACACACACACACACACACACACACACACACACACACACACACACGTTCTTCTCCATTAAGCGTGTCACTTTTTTCTTTTTCAAGCAAAGACTTCTGAAATATTTCTAATTTAAAAGAATGAACTCAAACACACAATAGTAAAATACTAAATCTGTAAAGCCACACTAAACTCATTGGTCCTCAGCTTCTTTTTGAACAGTGTTCACTTCTGTCTCACTGGAGTGACTCCCAAAGATCAAAAGTCCGACTTCAAATCAAACATCACCTTCACTTTAAAGTCTGCAGCGAGGGTAAATCCAGCATGCCCTGATCATGAGACGTTTCTGACCTCTAGTGATACATCGCTGTAGAAGATCAGAGATAAAGGAGGCTGTCTGGCCATGTAGAGTGCTAAAACACACGGAGGAATCTGAATGGCGACTCAAATACAATTTGCTTTGAAATAAAGCACAAACTAAAATAACTGGAGAAATGTTCAAGTCCACAGAAATTGTCCAACTCAAAAAACAATCTTTTAAAAGCGGCTGAATAACCCGATAAACAGAGTAAATCCAATGTCATTGACATAAAGGCAAACATTTAATCGAAAGTAAGCACTGCCCTGCAAAGAGATCACAAAGCTCCAAAAACATGATTGACTTACTCGCAGTCAAATTGAGGAAACCCCACATAAAGAGCTGGATGTTTCCCAAATTCCCCCTGACAAGCTGCCAGGCTCCCCTCCTCCTCTTCCTCCACCTTCCTCCACACACAACAAATACTTTCCAAAGGCCCAGATCCAAACCACACCCTACCCACTCCCACTCTGTGACTGAGTGAACTCTGTCTGTACACTCTAAAAACGAATTCAGGCGACCTTTCACCTCCACTTAATTAAATGCATGGTTGCAAGATAAAAATGTGAGTTAATTGATTTAGATAAACATTTTAAGTTGCAAACATTCATTTATAAGTTGTGTTGACGTAATAATGTTGGTAATTACATCAACTTAATATTGTGTGTAATTTGAACTCTGATTTCTGTGTTAATTGACTTAAAACTAAATTCAAGTTGTAGTAAGAAATGCAATTGAATTGATAACTTAATTGTTCTACACCTTGAGTTAAGGATTTCAAGTCCACTCCCACTTAACATGCCTGGACAAGTTCCCACAGTTAAGACAAATAGAAATATACAAAGGACATTTTAAGGTGAGTGTCGTCTTTTGTGATTCAAATACAGTAGATAGCCTTGTAGTTGCACTGTATAGGCAAATTGCTGTTTGACCAACATTAGCAGCCTTTGAACTGTGAATAGTTCTGTGAGAGGATACAAAGTAGTAGAGGCTACTGTGAGAGTAAAAATACTTTGGTTACTATTGTGATATCGCTTTTTATTAAAAATGAATCTCGTGAAGCAGATCAAGGACATGCTTCTTGAGGTAGGATCGTTATTTAGAGTTGTCATTGAAATGCAAGTTGTTGGCAGTCACCCATTCAGAA